CTGCCTGCAGCAGCGCCTCATTGACCAGCCTGACCGCGTGGACTCCTGCGTGGGAGGGAAGGGACGTGCTGCTCAACCCCCCGTGTTCCAGGCACCTAAGGGAGTCACAGCCCAGGGTGGTGCGAGGTTCTCTGGGGCTGGAATCCCAGTGCAACTTCCCTACCTGGGGTGTCGGCAGACCCCCCTGCATGCCCAAACCCCATGTGGGCAGGACTCACTGTCATTTTCATCCTGCACCAATGAATTGGTGCTGTTCACACTGTCCTGAATGTCATTCCAGCTCAGGAATTCAGCTCCCGCTTCCCTAGGTTGGCCTTTCAGCTGCTGCAAGTCCTCAAAGTACCTGAAGGAGAGACACAGGGCAATGGCTTGGTGCATTCCAAGCAGGGTTCAGTGCATTCCGAGCAGGATGGTGCCTGCCACAGCCAGCTGCCTGGCTTTTCAGAGGGGAAAGGCAAGGCACGGGGCAGGAGGCTGCTGGAACAAACCCACGAAAAGCGCAGGTCGACTGACCATCCCCTCCCACTGGACTTCTCCACACTGACCCCAAACACAGAGCCCATCTTCTCACCGTTGTGCATTTGCATCCTCAACTCCCGAGAGGCCCAGGGCAGGGCTGACCAGGCTGCTCCAGAGCCCGTCGGGATCCCCGACATCCAGGGCTTGGTTGACCAGCGCCACAGCCGAGAGCATCTCCACAGCCACGAACAGCTCCTCCTGTGCCAGCTCACCCTGCCGGGGCAGACGGAGACACTGATCCCTCATAACCCCCTCCTCCAGCCCAGCACCCCCGGGCGCAGGGGAAGCACCAATCCCCCTCATCTCCCGTGCCTGGGGATCTCTCACCTGTGGGTGCTGGCGCTGCAGCAGGGCCAGCTGGCACTGGTACAGGGGGGCAGCAAAGGGATGCACATCGGGCAGCTGCGCCGCAGGGTCCGTCAGCGCTTCCAAGGTTTCAGCCAGCATCCCTCGGCGGATGGCGGCATTGATCCGGCTGACAGCCAGCAGCACTGAGGGACAGACCAGGGGAGCTGGCACAGGGGGGCTGCAGGAGGTGGCCGTGCCTGGTCTCCCTTTGGCCGGGCTGCTGGCAGGGGCACCAGCTCCTGGGCATTCACAGGGCAGCACTGCAAGCACCATGTCCCTGTTGGCACTCACTGGCTCGCTCCTCCTCGCCTCTCCTGTTGGCTGTGAGGATCCCTGCCTGCACCTCCTCCTGGTCCAGCATCTCCAGGTAGCCCAGGTCCTGCAGTGGGCAGAGATGGGTGTTGGGTCTCACACCTCATCCTGCTCACACCGATGGAGGAGCCGTGCTCAGACCCTGTCAGAAATCTGCCAACCCGCAGAGCAACTCCCACCCAGGGGACCCTCCTCCTCCTCAGGACCACGGGGGTGCACCCCCAGCACAGGTACCCCACACCACGGGCTCCTGCCAGCACCTACCAGTGCCTTCTGCTCCCGGTCCATGCTGAGCTGCTCCAAGTAGAGCTGGAGGTTGTCGCGCTGGAGGCAGCGCAGGGCCAGGACGGGGTCCTGCAGCGCCCGGTGCAGTGCTGGCACATCCTGTCTCTGCAGGGCATCATCCACCTCTTCCAGAGCCCTGTGCACTACAAGAGGCCAGTCCATCCCAGAGGTCAGCAGGTAAATCATCCCACAGCTTCAGGGAGCAAAGGCAGCTATGGCTGAAGCCTGCATACCCATCATTTTAATTTCTCCTTGGAAATGCACATCCAGCCCTAATCCCTGATGGGTCTGCATCACTCCTTCCTGCTATAGCCATCACTCTCCTCATGCCCTGGGGTACTATGGTCCCACCATAAGCCCTAGAGCCCCCCCCAAGAGGAAAGCCCCAGCTTCCCTCACCGTTCACTTTGTTGACGTTCCCTTGGATTTCAGCCTGGGTCAGACACCGGTCATAGACATCCTCTCCCTCAGGGATCACCTGCAGATACTGGAGAGAGACTCCTCACCCTGAGCTTTCCTCCCAAGCTCTCCCCATAGCACACAGCAGGCTCCCTTGCAGGTGCCTGGGCTCATTTCCCAATCCCAAGCCCTGGGGATCAACTAGGCCCCCAAAGAGGAATCATCTCCCCCATCTTCTGCTCAGCACAAGGGCTCCCAGGCTATGTTTCACCCAGCAATCACCGTATGGTCTGTGGCCAAGGGACCCCTCCAGCTTGAAGCACCCATCAGCAAAGGGGCTGCTCCTCTCTCAGCTGCTCCTCCCCCCCCCGAGCCCCCCATGCCCTCCTCACCCTGTTCCTGGCATTGCTGCCCTTCTCCAGCTTCGCCCGGTGCAGCACCTCCTGGTAGGCACCTGCCAGCTCCCCACGCAGGTCCTGCAGCATCGCGCTGGGGTTGAGGAGGGTCTCCATCGTCTGGGCCACCACCCCCCGATCCACAGCTTCGTTGATCGCCAGCACTGCGGCGTGGACTGGAGGCGAGGTGGGAAGGAGGGGGGTGAGATGAGACATGGAGGAGTGAGATGGACCATCTGCTATAACCCTGCACGCAGTGGGACAAGAGCCACTCCATGCACGATGGTGGGAGCCACCGAAGAGTGAGCTGCAGTCTCCAGAACGTGGGAAGTCTCGGTTCTCACAGCAGAACAGGTAATGTAGAACCCCCGGTGCTGCCAGTGGGGAAGGGGCTGTGCCAGCCCTTGCAGCCACGTGCGGGGCTGAAGGTGAGCAACTAGGTGCCTCCACTGCATCCCAGACCACCACCACCTCCCAGAGCACCACCTCTCAAGTTTGCTGGCCTCAGACCTGGTATCCAGGGGCTGATTGCCCAGCCTTGCTCCCCACCAGGCACCCATCACCTGCTGCTTCATCCACTGAGAGCTCATTGGCCAAAATGCCACCGATCTTGCTGAAGGCAGGCAACTGCAGCCCATACTTCTCCAGCTCACGCTTCATGTTGTTGATCTCCTCCTCTGGAGCAGAGCAGAGAGACAGCACTGGAGCAGGGGCAGCCAGCAGAGCCCCTGTTCCCCTTCCAAACCAGAGGGGTGCAGAAAATCCCCATACTGGGGTGAGCATCCCTGAGGCAGCTTTGGCAAAGCTCACCCAAAATCTTCACTCCTCACACCCCTCCTGCCACAGGATCCCAAAATATCAATGGCAAACCCCTCCTCACCAGCCCCCAGCCCAGGTCCCCCCACACAGCAGCATACCTGTGAAGTTCACTTTGCCATACAGGTCCTGGATCTGAGGAGCCAGCCCCAGCTTGAAGAGGTACAAGCTGAAAGACAGACCATGACCATAACATCACCTGCTTCTCCCTCCCAAAGCTTCTGTGGCAGCCGAGGCCGGCGGGTGATGCCACCAAAGGGCTCGTGAGCACAAACATGAGCGGCTCATGAGTGGTGACAGCCAGGCCAGGCCACCCACCTGAGTGCGTGGATGCAGTAGACCACCCGGGGCATGTTCTTCTTGTCATAGATGTCGGTGGTCTCTGGGTGGAAGATCTGCCAGAAAGACAAGAGACAGCTCAGGTGGGGATGGCATCGAGACGATCCCTGGGCAGGATGGTGTCCAAGGGTGAGGGGCAGAGACAAAGACCCCCTGCCACACCAGCACTCCCCACAGGGCAGAGGCCAGCGTGTCCCTTGGCCGGGGAGAGCGGAGGGGGGACATTACCGAGGGAAGGCCCACATGGCTCATGGCATCACGCCAGTAGTTGATGTTATCCGTGTGCCGAAAGTGAAGCCCAGCTGCCTGGAAAAGTGGAGCTAGAGTCAGGCTGAACTTGTACACCCTAAGGAACACACCCCTGGTGTCACAGCCTTACCTTGTACCGAGTCTGCTCACGATCATAGATCTTCTTCAGCGGGACCACAGCCGGGGCGAAGCAGTGGCCCAGCTTGGCCAGGAGGACCCCGTTGCGCAGGGTCTCCTCCAGCTCAGTGGAGGGAGGCAGCCCCTCACCCAGGCAGGCCTCCATCCAGCTGGCAGGGCAAAGATGGGGCACATCACAGATCCCAGCATCCCACCAGGCAGGAAAAGCACCCAGAGGAGACCCCCTCAACCCCCTCCCCATAA